TTCTGTTGGGATTGTTTAAAGAAATAAATGTTTTTTCCAATCCAGTGGTATATTTCCAGCTTAAAACTATTTCATTGCTTTTCTGACAAAAGTTACAAGCCACATGGTACTCAAGTGCCCTGTGGATGTGTAAGGTAAACATGGATTAACAGTCATTAAGGTTCTTACATGCTTCTTACCAGTATATCCAAAATACAAAGGCATCTGTGAGAACGAGAAACAAAAATGCTACTGGTGATTCCCCAGATCTGTCTGTCACCTGCTGCTGCTTCAGTTGTACTTCTGTTCATTCCTCTATGTTCCCAGCAATTCAAGATTGCCCTATCTGTTTTGCTGTCTCCCTGTTTGAGCTAATTTTTGCAAACCCAGTAGAAAATCATTCACTTTATATCGGATTAGGAAGTTCTCAGGGAGTTATACGAATGTCAAAACATGGTGATTGAAGCACAGGGGTTGGGATCAGCCCATTTCAGAGGCAGTAAATTATTTGATTGTCTTAGTTGTACTGTCTAATTGCATTGTAATTACAGAGAGTAGGGAATAGGTCTCATCCTGGGGAATGGATGGCAATTCCATCTGCTGATTGTCTTTGGAAACATGGGCCTCTAAGCTGCAGTGAAGATGTGTGACAAAATAGCCCCGGAATATAGTCTGGTGGCTAACAGAGCCTAACTAGAAACCTTGCTGTCAATTTCACTTAGGGAACTTGACTATATTAATTTTTAAAGTTTGAAACTTCAGTCTTAATCAGGAAATGTGGCCATTTTATTAGAGGTGATAAGAACTTTCAGAAGTGGAAAATAAAACTGAAATATTTTACTCTCCTAAATTTAGATATTGAATTGAATGGATTTCAGAAAGATTCAGAAGAAAAGGTTAGTGTATTTTTACCACTGAATGTATATAAAATATCATTTAATTGAATCAGCATTAGACCATATTTTACTGAAAAATCACAGTTCTTTCACTTTAAAAAGCAAGCATACGGCTGTAGAAACTGAAACGGAGTGCAATAGGTGAAAAAACTTGAGAGCTAATTTTTATGTCCTGCTTTTTGGGTAGGAACTGCAGTTATTAAGCTTGCAAGGCATAAGGGTAGAAGCATAGCAGTAACAGGGAAGTAGGAAAGACATCTCCGTGACCCAGAATCTGTAAGGAAGCTAAAGTAATGAAGACTTTTAGTAGCTTAAAACATATTTTCCACCAGTGAAAGTTATGGCAGAGATATTAGGAAAGTCTTTGAGGAGGAACAGATTATCTGTAACTGTCCTTCTATTTGGGAGTAATGACTTGTGGCCAAAAATAGGTAGTACCAGTCTATTTGGTACACCTCTTCGGTAATTCTAAAGCTGCTCATGAGTGACAGTTTTCCCTGCTGATGAGGTAAAAGTGAGGTAGTAGCTTTGGATCTATCTTTTTCCCCATTTGTCAAATCTGCGATGTTACTTGTGTCTGCCTCTGCATTGTTACCTTCTGTTGCTCCTCTGAGACACAATGCTGTCTGTGCTTTTTGATTTCTAGTCTCAGTTCACCCTGGCTGGTTCATTGCTTTCAGGTCTGTTTGTGCTGGGCAAAGAAACTCATTGAAATTTACTCTGTTGCTATTTTTGCAGCAAAAAGTAATTGCTATTACCTGGTCCAACTGCAGTGTCATGGACAGTTTTGAGAATTTCTGACCACTGGTGGCATCAGCTGCATGGGTCCTAGAGAAATGAGAGGATCTTATTGGGTACATGTAATGCTTGCTGCCATCTGCAGCTTCTTAGGAAACCTCCCATTAATTTGAGAGAGGATACCCGTTCCATTATGTCTTCTTTGAAATTCCAGCGTGGAGCAATTTACAGCAATATGCAGTGTAATTTTCTGATGAAATCATAGCATTATGACTATTCTAGCTAGACCCATGGTTTTGTATCTATAAATAAAAAGTTAGAATTATATGTAAATCAGGTTTACTTTCTTTTTTCAGGCAGGCTGATTGAGGTTGTGGAAAAAGCAGTACTTGCTAAAATTCACTAAAGACGAATTTAAGACCACTATGGCTAATTGTCCCTGTCTTGTAGCAAATATGCTTGATTACATAGTCAAGTACTCTGTGTCTTGGAACAAAGGGAAAAAATGAAATCCTCTAGGCTACTCCATTTTGAAAAATACACTACCAGTATACAACTGTAATACCAAGTTTAGTAAATGAAACATTCTCATTGTACAGAATTAGTTAAATAGAACAGTATGAAAATGCCTTAAAACAAAGATTATCTACAATTAATAGCCTCTGGAGAACAGGCAGAATTGAGTGCATTGAGGATATCTATAGAGAGGATATTTTAGGAGCCTGGACTAAGAAAGTTGGAAATGATCACTGCAGTGAATTATTCTTTTTGCATATTGGCTGATGTTGGCACTGGCAAGATCTGAGTGCTGCAGGAAAACCTCTTGTGAGAGGAACCAATGGCTATCATAGGCCTGTATATACTTACTTGAAGAAAAGGCAAGACAACCACCTTGACAACCAGGCAGTGAGTCACTGTGCATGTTAGTTTTGTGTACTTACAAGAGATATTAGTAAACTAATAATCTCTACATAGAAGTCCTGACAGCAGAAATGAGTCTTGCTGGCTTGTCTTGATTTTGACAATGTAGCAACTTTGATACCTGTTGTGGTTAGTCTGTTACTAGTGGGTCCACTTCTGTTCAACATCTTCATAAATGGTCTGGAAAAAGGAACAGAATGCACTCTCATCAGCTGCAGAGATGGTACTGGGAGGAGTGACTGATGCACCAGATGATGGTGTTGCTATTCAGAGGGACTTGAACAGGGTGGAGAACTGGGCAGAGAGGAATCTCATGAAATTCCACAAGGGAAAATGCGAAGTTCTACATCTGGGGAGGAATAACCTTGGATGCCAGTACATGCTGTTGAACAATTGTCTGAAAGGCAGCTCTGCAGAGAAGGACGTTGGGATCCTGGTGGAAAATAAGCAGACCACGAGCCAGTGACACACTCTTGTAGCAAAGGTGAATTATATCCTGGGCTGCATAAGGAGGAGTGTTGCCAGCAAGTCGAGGGAGGTGATCCTCTCCACAGAACTGGTAAGGCCACATCCAGCAAGCTATGTCCAGTTCTGGGTCCTCAGTACAAGAAAGATACAAACACACCGGACTGCATCTAGTGCAGAACTATGAAGAGAATTAAAAGACTGTTGCATCTGGTTCTCTAAGGCCTTTGACAGGGTTCCCAACAACATTCTTCCCTTTAAATTAGAGAGATCTGGGTTTGATGGGTGAACTGTTTGGCGGATGAGAAACGGGTTGGATGATCACATCCAGAAGGTGGTGGTCAATGGCTTGATGTCCAGATGGATATCAGTAGAGACTCAGGAGTCTGTACTGGGATCAGCACTGTTTTAATACCTTCATCAATGACATAGACAGTGGGATAGAGTGCACCCTCAGCAAGTCTGCAGATGGCACCAAGCAAAGTGGTGTGGTTGGCACTTGAAGGACAGGATGCCATCCAGAGGGACCTGGACAATCTTGGCAGGTGGATCCATGTGAACCCCATGAGGTTCAATGGGGTCAAGTGCAAGGTCCTGCAGGGTGACCCCTGGTACCAACACAGGCAGGGAATGAAGGGATTGAGAGCAGCCCTGCAGGAAAGGACATGGGAGTTCTCATGAGACCCCACCTGGAGTTCTTTGTTCAGCTCTGGAGTCCTCAGCCTGTCAGAAAGACATGGACCTGTTGGAGTGAGTCCAGAGGAGGGGCCACAAAGAAGAAGAGGGATGGAACAGCTCTCCTGTGAAGACAGGCTGAGGAAGTTGGGGTAGTTCAGCTTACAGAAGAGAAGGCTCCATGTTACAGAGTACTCAGAGGGGGCTGGTAAGGGTAAGAAAGGTGGGGACAGACTTCTTAGTAGGGCCTGTTGCAGAGCCCAGTTTTAAAGGAAAGGCCCCAGTTTTAAACTAAAGGAGAGTAGATCCAGACTAGATATAATTAAATGTCTTTTACAATGAAAGTGGTGAAACACTGGAACAGATTGCCCAGAGAGGTGACAGATGCCTCATCCCTGAAACCACTGAAGGTCAGATTGGATGAGGCTCTGAGCAACCTGCTCTAGTTGAAGGTGACCCTGTTCATTGCAGAGGGGTTAGACTAGATGACCTTTGAAGGTCCCTTCTAACCCAGACCATTCTATGATCTTTTGTATGAGGACAGGCCAAGAAAGCTAGAACTGTTCACGCTGGAGAACAGAGGGCTCAAGGAGATCTTGCCAATGTGTATGAACACCTGACAGGAAGGACTGAAGATGAGGGAGCTGGACTTCTCAGTAATCCCCAGAGAGACTGCATTGTGTCAATGGAAACAAAAAAGAAATACCGTCTGAACACAAAAAAAAAACAACCACTTTTTTATTGTGAGTGTAGCCAGACACTGAAAGAGGTTACCCAGAAGCGTTGTGCATTTCCATCTTATGTAGATACTCAGGACCTGACTGGATATGGTCCTAGGCAACCTGCTGCAGCTGACGCTGCTTGGGCAGCAGGGTTGGACTAGGTGATCTCAAGAGGTCCTTTCCAGCCTTAACAGTTCTATGGTTCCCTGTGCATCTCTTATGTCCCATTATATAGAAGTAATCTTCAGATCAGCTGATAATGTTGATTCTTCTGACACTAACTCTTACAGTGACTCTTACGTCTGTGTATTGAAAGGCTGAATTCCTCTGCTGTTTTGACTCCAAGCTAGCAGGTAGAGGATTCCACTTAACATTTCCACTCCATCCTTATTATTTATGCTTCAGTATTAGTCCAGTAACGTTTGAAAGCCACAGTCTGTGACACTAAGTAGCCACCATTTTCTTGAAAACTTTTTAATTGGTCCCAAAACATGTGGAAAAAAAGTTCTTTGCTTGTCAGGGTTCACCAAGGTGATGTGAATACAGTGCCATCTGCTGGAACTGACAGGCTAAAATAAAGCTTGCTCCTGTAGTGCACACGGATATGTCGAAGGCTTGGGTAAGCCTGGCTCGTATTGCAGTGAGCTTACTAACACACAGTTTTTATATCCACAGACAAGTAAATTCGGGTGTGGGTTTTTTTTTTGTTGTTGAGAGCTGTGGCAGACTTCTCTGTCCACCTGCTTCGTCTGGTGCGTTGTTCGGAACCAGCTGAGGCTGGCATCGACTGTGGCCATGCTCAGATGTTACCAGTGTGTGCTTACTGGGCAAGATGAGGAAATAAGAGATTCTGGGCTGATGCCAGAAGGTCAGGAGGATCTGTGCCTGGATTAAGGAGCACCTTGATTTGTATTTGTACTGGGAATAATTAAAACATGAGGATAGTGGGATTTAAATCAAGGCTTTTGAAGTAGTGTGCTCAGTGGAAGAGATTCACAGATGACATGAGATAGTTGGGATTCAAACCCTAGAAAGAATTAACAGCCATGTGCCTAAGAGGTACTTTTTTCTCTCTGGCATTCTTTCATAGGAACACCTTTTTAAAATTAGTTGCTTGAAGCCCTTCTGGTGGAGGATGCACCTGAACCTGCATTTACAGCCACAGTGCTGATATTTTACTGCTGATCTACTGACTAACGGGTAATTCTGCTCCTCCTTTGAGTGAAACTTAAGTATATTTAGACCATATTTACCAGACTGGGTCCCATATGAGAGAGAACTTGCTGTTTTGGTCTGGTTCCCAGCTTGCTCAGCCTTGCTCCTTCAGCTCCTTTTCACCAGACAATTGAAGGTAGAGGGACCTTAGACACTGGGGCTTTAACTGTCTTTATGGATAAGTGGCTGCTGAGGATAGGTTTTAGGGGAGGAAAGTTTTGACATTTATTATTGTCTGCAGATTTTAATTATTTGTACAGCAAGTCCTACAGGATTAGTGCCAACAGAAGTGAGTGCTAAAGAAATTTAGGCACCTGTAGTTGAATGGGGGTTTTGTGAACACCAGTCACATTTAAAGTGTTGGATTTCAGTTGGGATTTGGGTTTTTAGGATCTTGAAAAATTACTCATTTATGTCTGTCTGATACTTCTGCATTAATATAAATGTTTCACCTGCCCTTCAACAAACTCATCAAACCCTTTTCTTAGGAAATTTGTAATATACATACATGCTGTTTATGCCATGGTTCTTCAAGTACAGAAAGTCATGCCAGTGGTTTTTTTTTCCCCAATTGTCTAAAGCTTGCACAAATTAGAGAATTAGTCCAAAAAGAAACAGTAATTCCATACAACAATGTAAGAAGTAGTCAGTACTTAAAAAAGAACAATTACCTGCACAGGTACAAGTTACGAAATAGCAAACTGGGGAATAATTTTTCAAGAAGTCAGGAATTTATAATGGCTTACAAACTGAATGTGAGTTAGTGCTGTCAGATTTCTGCCCTTTCTGTTCTACTGTGTGTGAGCTTTATCAAAATTACATTACCTGTGGTTAAAGAATTCTTGCAGTGCCCAGTATTGCCACTTGCTGGCAGCAGGAGTCTAAAAATGTATGGATATATATTTTCTTAAGATGTACTATTACTAAGCAACAGCACTATTATATACAAATGTTATCTAGAAAAAAATATGGGTTAGTTCTGCAGAGGCATCCAATTTTCTGCAGAAATATTTGTACCAGGGATAAAAAAAGCTACTAATTGGTTTAAAAATGGGTGAACCTGTTGAAAGCAGCTTGAAGTATTAGAAAATCAGTAGTAGTCTTACTTTTCCAAGAACAGCTATGGTTTTGTGGTTCTGTATTCAGTGTGGAAACTCAAATGTGCAGCCTCCAAACATATGCTTAAAGTTTTGAACTGAAGCTTGTGAGGCAGGAATCCCCCATACCTGTGTGGGATTCACATAATCACATAGTCAAACCTCATATACTGTGTTTTGCTAACTAGGGTTTTTATATTATTAACATGTTAACTTTCATTATTTCTGGGCAATACTTAATGCCTTTCTTTTGAAGCCCTTTAACACCCTCAGGTCATTGGCAATGACATAATATCTTTGACTTTATGAAAGATTTAGTCTGTCTTACTCTTGATTTTCACTGCTAGGGAAGCCAACAGCTAAGGTGCTCTACTTCTGAAACTGAGACCTCATTCTAACCCTTGTTGAGAAACTGTATGAATTCTTAGGAAGGCTATGAATCTTGTAGTTTGCACAAAAATTGCAAACAAAATACATGTATTTATATGAGTTACTTCTAAAGTGAATGTTAATTACATGCTTTTTAGAAAGAGTTGTTCCATTGCTTCTTGTAAACATTTTTTTTCATGTTTAGGTTTCACAGAAATTAAGTAATGAAGATCTCTCTCCAGAAGTAAGCGTTTGTCTAGATGTCCTGGAGGATATGGTAATTGTTCCAAAGGGACAGACTTCACAAGATACATTTCCACGTGTTTTAGAAGATTGCCAGGGAACCTGCATGACCACTACTGACATGGATAACACAGTGGAAGAACATTCCCACAATGATGATACACATCTTTCACTGACATCCATAGGGAAGACTTTCATGGAAGCATTCACTGAACTGGATATAGAGACTGGTGATCTTGAAATTACTGATTTGTTGGGATCCCTCAGTGATTCTGAGAATCTTAAAATTATAAACCCATTGCCTGACGATTTAGGTAATTTCTTTTCCATTGATTCATCAGCAGATGAGAGCAGTGATGCACTGCCAGTAGAGCTTGTGACAGCTCTGAATGCTATGTCAGGATCTCCGATAGTGCCAAATGAGATACATCTTAACACAGAGAGAGAGCACTTAAATTCAGAACCTAGTATTCTCCAATTAGGTGATGACTGCACACAAGTAACAAACAGGATTGAGCCTCAACTTGCTAAAATTCAAGGGGAAGAAATAAAAGCCTTAAGAGGATCTGACTTGCAGAGGACAACAAACGAGCAAGTATATACACAGTTTAATTAATACTTGAAAATACATGTTTATCGTAACATTTTATAGAATAGCCTAATTACTTGGAATTGTGAATCTTAGTAAAGAATAAACTGGCATCAGTAATTTACATGTTTAATACATTTGAATTGTTTTTGGTTTAAAGTCCAGTAGTGTCTCAGCTTGCTGGGATGGCAAATCCCAGAAAAATTGATTCAGTGACTGATGTGGAAATCTATAATCAGCATGGGAATTTTGAAAACTCCTGGTGCCTCTGTACCTTTTCTATGTCTCACGTTCTCTCTAAGGAAAGTTCCAAAGACCCACATCATCTCTGGACCTGGAGGGACCACATCTGCTGAATATCTCTATTAAAAGAATTCATCAGCAATTCTCCATTTTCATCTGTGTCCCAAGAAAAGACTAACAAGTTCTACCACATCACATGAAATAATCTGTATGCATGTTTGCTGAGGGTGTGTCATAAGGCTTTCAGCCTTACTCAAGTGTGTAATGAGCTAATGAGTACCCACATTTCAGCAGTTTGTGTGATACTTTGCAGCACGTCACACTCAGCTGACTAAAACAGTGAATAAACTCAAATTAACTGCCATGTGATGACGTATCATCAGGGTGGGCTTTCTCTTCCTGACTATTAAAGATAAGCCTCTGGTATACACCAGTCATTTAGGTTCCCCTTTGCACAACTTAGGACAATGTGAATTACCATCATGTCTGAAAGTAGCTCTTCCTCTTCGCTTGTGGTAGGGGTAACAGGGATGTTAGTGTTGTCTAGATCCCTGGCTTTTGGAAGGCTGAAGGTAAGTGAAATGAATCATCTGTGATTGCTGTAGCTCAGGTATTATATGTATTTAGAAGTAACTTTTTAGGTGGAGGTTACTACACCTCAGGTGAGACATGGTTCTTGATCTTGTGCACATTCCTAGGTTTGTGCAAGAGTGAGATAAAATGGTCTAGTTTAAGAAATCTTAAATATCACTTTATTTTTTAGGACAGGATGTCATGTCCATAGGAAGCTGAAATGAATTTGTAAAGTTATTCCATATGTCCAACCAAACATCTTTCAGATAGTAACAACTTCTGTTCACTGTCAGCCAGTCTAGATTTATTATTTAAGTTGTCATTCTGAGTATCCAAATTTCTTTGGCTAATTCTGCCAGGGGCACCTACTACTTTAGGAGTGCTTCTCCTTTGGCATTCTCCCTCTGTTGTGTCTGTAGAATTCCAGTTACTCACTTAAGCAACCCTTCTGTTGTTTGTGAGCATACATATAAAACAATGTTCTTGGAGCTTCTATCTATACAGCCCTTGCTTTGACTGTGTGCTACCAGTTCCTTGTAATGTTTCCTTTTTGTTGTAGCCTGTGGATGATCAGCAAAGAGAGAAAGAAGTAACTTCAAATTACCGGGGTGCCACCTCTAGTGAAAACCAACCTGTTGAGGGAAGTGCACATTCAGCAAATGCTGCAGCATGTGCAGAAGCAGCCCAAACAACATCAAGGAGAGCGATGCAGTTGAGGGAGACCTCTGTAAGAGAGTGCAGAGCTCATATTTCCAGTCACTGCCAAATGCTTGAAGAAACTCAGCAGAGGATGTCTCACAGTGGCAGTACAAGAAGAAACAAAGCTGAGGATTTTGAGTATGACAAAATCATGCATAATATTAAATTTGTTTTTTAAACTAATGTAACATACATTATGTTACTCATGAGGAATTTAACTCATTCCTCATGTGAGTTGACTATAAATGATGAAAAGGTAAAAGGTACCTTTTATTTGGAGATCTGGAACTAAGATTCTCTTTTGACTTTCTCTTTATTCAGTACTACCTAGGCTAGCCTATATACTTGCATGCTATCACAGACTTCCTTTAAGAATCAAATATATTCACATTCTTATCTCTTCTGTATAGAATAGATTTATATAGAGAATATAGATTTATATGGAGAATTACATGGTTTGTTGATTCTAAGCAAATCTCTTGTCAGTAAAATTCATGAATCTACTTCTGAAGATAAGCAGGATCTAGAAACCAACATATACCAAGAAATAACTCTGAATGAGGATAGTGAAGTTAAGCAGAGAAGAAAGAGCAAGAGAAGTGGAAACAAACTGAGTAAGATTTTTTTTTGAACAACTATACTGAATCAGATATTGGGACATGGATTTATTTTAAAAGGATGGTATAAACATTCATTTTAATAATTAAAATTATTGATAATTTCTCTCAGTTGTTTAAACCTACATATTGGCAACCTAACAGTTGTCTTTTCTGCGTAAACTCCTTAAGAATCATGAGTTTTTTTCAGGATGCAGTTTTTATCACAGCATTTTATATGAAAAAAGAAATAAAAATGGTTATTCTGAAAAGCAGAAGAAAAATGTTTTCATGCAGAGCGAGAATGTAGATCGTGATATGCATTTATAAATCCTTTTAATATCTAGTATTCTGTGCAACATCATTCTGAGGGCATTGCCATGCTCAAGAATTGACCTATTCAAAACAGTTGTTTCTATTTTGAATGCCTGGTGTTGTTACCCTGTCTGTTTCAAATACAGGGTTTTAAGGCCTTGACTGCAACAGGCATGGAGCACTCTTTCAAAGTGTTTTTCCTTGCAGTGTGCTTCGTCAGAAAGACTGCAATTTTTCATCGTTTGAAGATGCATGCAGAGACATTTTTTGCCTCAGAGAGGAATTATATAGCAGGATACAGAATATACTCGCTTAAGTGCTCAGTCCAGCACCTTTAACATTGGGGTCTTAAAAGGTCGGGTTTTGTAAGCCCACTCAATCTGGATTTATCTGTGCACCTGCAATCATTTAAACAGCTTGCAAAGTTTGAAAGTATTTGAACTGTAACAGCTACATCTTAGGTCTTACAAAATATGAGTAATTCTACCTCAAATTAACAAACCTTTTCTTTTACAGGGTTTTAGTTATTCCCAGTGGAAGCACTGTTTTTATGAGATTTAAAGTTGTGTGACTAGCTGCTCATCTGTTTCAAACTAACTTAGTAGTTCCTACTCAGAAAACAAGCTGTTGGTTTTTTTAGCATGATTTCTACAGAATGAGTTGCATTGCCTATAAAGGTAGCTTCATGTTAGTCCAGTCTAGCACGTTTGCCACCCTTTCTCGTCAGATCTAGCAGTCAAGAGTCTGTGAGTCATCTTAGTTTGGTCATTCACTGAAGAAAAAACAACTCTATGAACATAAAGTTTCAGTTTGGATCTGCAAGCATCACTTGGTTTGCACACAGTCAGACACAAGGAAGGCAGGGCAGAAGTGATGGGAAGTAGGTCCCCTGGCAAAGTAACAGGTTAAATTGGAATAAGTGTAACACAAAACTCTGCCTTGTTCTGTGTATGTCTGTGGTTTAAGCCCTCCTGAACTTCTTGACAGGTTTAGAGCAGCTTTAACTAGGGACTGCAGTATCTTAAATGATTAAGGTCTTGCAAGGCTGGACAGGTAAAAGAGAGGAGAGCTGTCCATGTAGTTAACTGAGGAAGGGTCCTCAGTAAGCTCATATCTATCAGGTTCTAAAAATTTACACAGAGGCAAGAACTTAAGAATGTTGGGAATTAGTCTGAGCTCACAGCATATGATGTGCAAACCAGCAGAGACATCAGGCTTTCTGAGTTACAGTTCAAGGAAAACTATGTGTTTTTAAGGTCATACTTAAAATGGCTGTTTCTGACACCCAGCGAGAGTTTTAGGGCTAGTGAGACAGATCTGCTACAGAAGTGGAGAGAAGCAGTGTATATAGCCTACTGTTCCAAGTTTTTTCATTAATAGATGAGTTAATGGCCAAGGCTATACATAGTACTTTCTTTCCTCCCTCCTTTCTTCCCTCTCTTTTTTAGAAGAGGCAGTAGCCAGGATGCTCTTCTCCACAGTGTGAAGGGAAGCTGGGATAGCATTGCTGGTGCAGTACAGAACAGCTCATCTATGTATTGGAAGTAATTTAGCCCAAGCCAAAAAACTGTAATGAGTGCATAATGGGAAATCATATTTGTTTATAAAACAATATGCTAAAAATGAAAAACAGTATCTTTTTACATTTTAGTCTTTGCATTTAGACCTCATATTCCCAATCAACTCTTCCTTTCGCTCATTGCAGAAATGGCTGAACTGGTTTTGCGGTAATGGGTAAAAGTAATTCGACGGAGCTAATCTCAATCACTATCATAGTGTAAATACTTCTTGCTCACAAAGTGGAGGTTTTGAAATCTAAATGAGTGCAAAAGAATGGCTGATAAAATTGATATTTAAGAAAAGAGAAAATACTGAATAACGCACTAGCTATTGAAATGTATGTCTTGTAATGAATTGTAGCCTAGAATAGCAGTTTTATTATCCAGTGGGAAACAATGCACCTTGAGAAGATGTCACTAAAAGAGAAGACTTCTAAACTTAACACACTTCTACAAAGTCATATTTCTGTGTGTTGAATTTCAGTTGGAGTTTTGTTATGGAATTCACTATGACATCTTTTATTGAATAGTATTGCTATTTAAGTGATAATAGTTTTTTGAGATACTTCTTTCTACTAGATTGGGGGACCATTTTTTTCTCCAGAAAGTTTATTTACTAGCTGTAATGCAAAGTGAAAATGAGAGGAAAGATATTTTTCTATTCAACAGATCTTTTACATTATTTTGCAGGACAAGAAGCCTTTGGTAGGAATTCTGTAAATCCGATTTGCCCCATTTCACTTTCAGTCATCCATAGGAGGAATATATATGGTGAAACCTTACTGCATAAGGCTGTTCTTCATCAAGATGTAGACCTTGTACGTAACATAATAAAAGCAGGTGGAAATGTAAATATTCAGGATTATGCTGGTAAGTTGCAGTTGTGTCAAAATACTATTTCAAAACAAGTACCTACCAATAAGAAGTGTGTACTATGAGTTTGGGCAGCGGACAAGACTCTAGGTTTGTGGCTAGTCAGTAGATTATTAATTTTTTATTGGTTTAACTCAGTAATTGTTCATGAGAAGATAAAAGGACCTATGTATAAAAGTATTCTTTAAAAAAAAATCATGGAGAAAGTAAGCACTTAAAGAATTACAAAGAGATGCAATTGAGTTTACATAGCCTTGATTCAGCAATCCTATTCATTTTTATCACAAAACAATCCCTTAATTAAATAGTCAGTGTAATGTTTTTGATTTTTTTTTTTGTCCATTTCAGTGACAACTTGAAATGCCAAGATTTAAATTTTCCAGTTTAATTTTTCAGGGTCTGTGATTTTGTTCCCTAGATCTTAAAGGAAGTTGTAGCTTCATAATATAACACTGCTTTGATTTTGTAGCGTTCTGAGTAATTGGAATTTTGCATTTTTACTTCATCTTTGTCACACACACACAAAAAAGAAAGGATGACAAGTAGTGTCCAGCTGTGAACATTCTGGTTGAAGCAGTTCACCTTATCCAGCTTCACATGTGATATTCTGTGTCAAAGACATTGCCACACCCTAGAGGATCAACTGGTTGTTTCAAATGTAAAACTGTTGTTCCTTACTTTGCAGTTTCTTGTTTCATCCTTTATGCTCTCTGAACTTCCATAACAATAGAGAAAATGGATTCACAGACAGTTGGCTCATTTGGTAGAAAACTTTTGAGTCATTCTTAGAATGTTTCCATCCAACGCAGTGGCTAGGATTTCACAACTGTTCTGTGGGAACAAAAAAAAAACCAACTGTTCCGCAGTTGAATGCTGTTGCATAATGCAGGCATATAACAGACCAAAATTAGGGTAGAAAATCTTTGTGTTTTGGAAAATACTGAGATGGATTGGGTCAGCAGCAAATTTCAGACTTTTACAGCGTAGGAGTCAGGCATTAGAGCTAAGAATGACTGGTAATGTGTATTAACTTGTGCTAAAGGTAGATAAGAAAATATTTTGATAATGGTTTCAAAGCCACTTGCTGATGTCAGACAGAGAAACGTTGGTTGTGTGGGTTAAGTTGCAGCCCCTGTGGGCAACTGTACTAAAATGCACTGGTTTCAGTTTCTGGCCTCACAAATACTTCCTTTTTTTGCCTTTGCACATTTTGCCAGGCCACTGTTTCTTCATCACCTGGACTCTGGCCGCTATGTTTTGGTGCAAAAGGAGCACAACTGCACAAAATGTGATTTAATTGAACTTCTTGAGAAGATGAGAGGCTGACCTAGCCCAACTTCTTCTGTTAGTAAAGGAGGTGTAATCAGAAAGAAGTAGAGAAAACCATAGAATCAAAGAATGGTTTGGGCTGGAAAGGACCTTAAAGCTCATCTACTTCCAACCCCTCTGCCACAGGCAGGGACACCTTCCACTAGACCAGGTTTCTCAAAGCCCTGTCCAACCTGGCCTTGAACACTGCCAGGGATGGGGCAGCCACAGCTTTTCTAGGCAACCTGTTTTGGAGTTTCACCACCCTCATTTCTCCCTAATTTCGTGCTTCTGTTGCTGCAGCCCAGTATATGTTGGCTATATTGTAGAGACAAGGATGTTGTGCTGGGACAGCGTCAAATGCCTTGCACTTTCAGGTACATGACATCAGTGGCTCTTGCCTTATCCAACAATTCCATAGCCCCATCATAGAAGGCCCCCAGATTTGTCAGGTGTGATTTGCCCTTAATAAAGCCATGTTGGCTGTCGCCAATCACCCTCTTACTGTCCATGAGCACCCTCTTATTGTCCATGAGCATGAACATAGTTTCCAGGAGGATATGCTCCATGATCTTGCTGGGCACTGAGGTGAGACTGACCAGCTTGTAGTTCCCTGGGTATTCATTTTTACCCTTTTTAAAAATGGAGGTTATATTTCCGCTTTTCAGTAAGCAGGAATTTTCCAAGACTTTTTTTTTGGAATTTCACCAGACTGCCACAGTCTCTCAGATATAATAGAAAATGGCTTGGCAACATCCACCAGTTCCCCCAAGATCCACAGATGCATCTCATCAGGTCCCATGGACTTGTGCACCGTCAGGAGTTGCCAGACCTGTGCCACCTTGAAATGTGCTTTTAACTTGGGGTCTTTGGGAATCATTGTTCTGATTGTTATATTCTGCTTCTGTGCCTTTTCTCTTCCTTGAAAGTAGTTCACCAGTGATTATGCATATCTTAAGCCTAGTATTTTTCCTTATTTGTATGCTACAGTAACTTACTGAGTTCTTGGGTTCTTTTGTGTTTGGGTTTTGAGTTGGGTTTTTTCCCTCCTTTTTATTTCCTAGACATCAGCACATAGGGTATGGACAGCATGGAGGAGATACTGTCTGTGCTCTCAGTTTCAGTAGTGATTCACAGTGCCTTAAGGGAGCTGAAAAACAGTTGCAATGAAACTTGTGTTTCGCCTTCATCTGGAGCATGCACAGTGTCCTCGGAGAATGATGTTGCTAAACTCTATCAATTGAACATGTTGCAGGTTCAATTTTTCAGTTTATTATCTCAGACACAGGATACTTTTTTACTGAAGAAGGAATAGGTACTTTCCCTAAGTGAACCTTTTTTATCTTCTGCTTAACATGTATCAAGCTTTTGCTCCAGAGTATAGAGTTAGTTGAGTTTTTTAACGAAATAGGCTCTGTAAAATGGAAGTTAAATGTTTTACAGATTATACGGTTACAAAACCATTCATCTTGAAACGCTGTCAGCATTAGGCAATGTAGTTAAAACTCAGTTGAGTTTCAAGCATTTGGAAACAAAGCCTAAAAGCACAAGGTTTTTTAACAACTTGGTGCAACATCCTATGGCCATAACAAACACAATTCTTTACAAATATACAATATTCTGGGTTGAGTGGTGTATGAAAGATCCTCAGGAGTTTCTCTTTCCAATGAAATTAAGATAATATTGCACAGTGGGAGCAAAAGAGTCTTAGTAAGCCAGATTCACATCGTAATTCACATATTTAGTATGTGAATTAGCCCAGACAACCATCTGATGATGGGAGATGATTGAAGAGTAAGTCTGCCAATCAAAATGGTATTGTGGAGGGCATGGTGGTTTGAGAGCTGGAAGATAGGATGTAGAAAATCTTCTGTCTTTTCCCCTTACTTTTCTTACCCTACAAAAACCTGTCACATCGTGAATGTTTAAGGAGCTGATGCAAGGCGATGCTAAACCCAATTCAAAGACTTACATTCCACCTTTCATCCATCCATCCAATCCATCCTTCATGAAGCAGAATTGTTCTGTGTGTCATGAAGCTCATATCTTGGTTTATTATATATAGCTGGGAATGGATATGGAATTTCAGTAAGAATTTTTCATTGCTTTCTTTGGGTACTCAAACTGTTCTTGGGTAGTCTTAAAAAACATTTTTGCTTGACAGTAAGGAGTCCAGGTCCTCATTTTGCCTCTTATCACTTACCCTCTTCAGCACAGCTATGTAAATAAAAGGGTGCCATCAAAAACATTACCTTGTTCTTAAAATAGCACATATGTTTTAGTGGGGCAGAAATTACTAAGATGTGGGTGGAATAATTTTTATTCTCTTCTTTCATAACAGAACTGTCAAATCTAAAACTAATATTGTTACAGCAGCACCTGATTCTTCAGTAAGTGCAGATTTTGACAAAAGAATGAGATCAACCAAATCTTGTGACTTTTTCATAAGCATTTCTTCATACAACAGTTTTTACCTTTTCAGTGTATTTGCTAAAATATTTATCAAATAGACAACCTAAAACTGACATAAATTTTTATAAATTATTTCACACGAGTATGAAATACAGGTTTTTCTGTTTCATAGGCTGGACTGCACTACATACAGCAAGTCTGGAAGGCTCTTACAGGATTGCAGATGAGCTTCTGAAAGCAGGAGCTGATGTTGATGCTAGAGGATATGAACAAGTAACACCATTACAAGATGCAGCTAAGGAAGGCCATTATGAGGTATATTCCAAACTGAACACGAATTATGGTTTAGGAATATAAATTATTGTTGTTGGGCTTAAAAGGTTACATAATCCTTTTACACGTGGCTGGTCTTTTCAGATTATGGATAAATTCTGGAGCTTGAAAGTCCTTTCTGCTCAATTTCTGTTCAAACTATTCTGTGCTTTACAAGATTTGTCCAAAAGCAGAAATCAATTGTTTTTCTAACTGTTTGGGACAACAGCCGAACTACTGAGGAATAGATTGCTACTGTTTAATAATGTTTCAATTAATTTATAGTCCCCTTACAGAATAATTTATGACCTGAGCAGTCTTTGGGAGTTTTTATGACTTTTTCATCATTTGGTAAACATGCATGTATGGTGTGCAGCCACAGCCATGCACAGACATTTTTTGTCTATTATCACATAGCACAGAGAGTTATGAAGGCATGACTTTATATCTTGTATTGTCTTAAACAGGAAGTCAACTGAATAGTCAATGTGAATGAATTACAAGTTTTGTTCCAAATGCTGTGGTTTCATAAGCCTGTGTCTGAATTGTGGATCCTCTTTCTGTCTGTCAGTGGTTGCCTCTGCCTATCTGTGGAGGTTCCTAGGGTGGCCCAGATTTATGTAGGAGTTCTGCATGTCCCTTTTACCTGCTTGCTGTTTCTTTACATATGCTGCCTAATATTTATCAATTTCCAAGATTTTTTAGTTTTGTTGTTTTTTTTTTTCTTTTTTTTTTTGTGGGGTGTAATAAGGTTTGCCCCTAAACATTCTAAATATTTGCTTGCTTTCTGTTTCACAATTGAGAGAAGACTTACTCTGTTTCTCCCCAAGTCCCCTTGTAGCAACAGTGAAGGGTGGGCTTTGGTTAATATTCTCTGACACTGAAGAACCCCAAGCTTGGTTTTCAGATTGTTGATCACAGACTCTTGTGGTTTCATGAAATAGTTCTGAATTCTGTGAAAGTGCCTAAGATGCCATGTCCATGGTTATGCATGTAAGACTCTGCATCTCCACAAGCAGTTTATAGGGGTCTGCAATTTGAATGATACTGGGAAGAACACTAATATCAGCGAGGTCACTTGAGGTGCACCAACACCGTTCAACACTGTGTTACTGTTAGATGAGAACTGTGTTACAGCTACATGAGCTGGTATGTCCACAGGGAATGGTGCTACATGGTGGCACTGTATTTCCTCAGTAGTAGTATAGTTGTATCACTGCAGTGGTCTGTCAGACTTAATTTTTGTTGCTTCTGACTAACAACAAAATAGTGACAGTGATTCAGTAATACAACTTTTGGTAACATGGTATTTGGAGCTGTTTTTTTTGAATCTACCTGCTATGAGTGAAGTTATTACTGTAGACTGGAAACATACCTTTTGGCTGCTTTATTCTTTTCTACACCTACAGTATAGCAAAATTAATTTCTTATTTCAGAAAAATGGCCTGTGTATGAGGGACTTTCTTATAGTGCAGTTAAGGGAGAGATCATACAAGATCTCATTAAGGAAGAAGAGTTCTCAAAATTACTTCTTGAAAAAAATCTGTAGATTTGAGTCAACTTGTGAAGCCTAATAGGGTTTTTGCTGTGGATTGAACCCTTTTTTATTTGATCTGTTCTTAGCACGTATGTATTGAGAAAACCTCAGATTAAAAACTGGAATGAATTTGTAAACATGAAAATAATAACACAATAGGATAATGATGCATCTAGGGAAATGCTTGGGGTCTCTTAACTAGAATAGAGAGAGATCATTTGTCCTAGGCCTTAGATTTGGTTTTAGTTACACATGTTGTCGAGCAACAAAAGAGATAAGCCCATATAAGGAAGGAGTATGGAAAATACTGTCAGAAAATAAACAACCTGAAAAACTTCTTTTTCCAGATGGCAGAGTTACTACTTTTCTACGGAGCTGATCCCTTATTAAAAAATGAGATGGGAAGGTGTGCACTGGAAGAAGCTTCTGACCCAACTATGAAGAAACTGCTTAAAAGCTATGTAGCAAAATACAGAATAAATTCAGTAGCAGGTAGGATAGAATTATTCTCACATATTGCATTCTAAATGGAGACATTCAGAACAACTGTTGCACTGTATTTCCTTACTTACTTCTAGTAGTTCCATGGGCTTTACTGTCTAACGCCTGAGTACCAGTGAGCACTCTTTACCCAGCAGAGTTGCTATACGTTGGCAAAGTAAAAAGGATAATGATGTACAGCTTTTACAGCAGAACAGCTGTTATCTATCTAAATGTAAAATGGGGACTTGTCGATCTTTGAGGTATGGCTTTAGAGCTAGGGATAAAATTTGATTCTAAACTGGTATAGAGGCTGAATTTTGAAGGATCCATAGGGTAAAAAATGGATCTAGATTAGATCAAGATTTTGGGGGTTGCCAAGCCTTAACTGCTTATCCTTAACTGCTAGTCTTAGGGCTGGGACAAGGGTAATATTGCTGTAGGTAATAGCTAGTGAGTTTGTGAGGGGTTGGTAGATGAACAGTTTGGTTAAGGTGAGAGTTGGATCTTGTACAGTCTTAGGAACTAAGTTGAGAAGAAGGTTCAGAAGAGACTGCCTACACAGCTGGGCAGTGTCCCTGTGCTCTTCCCAGGATACCTGTCCTCGTATCTACTGCCTGTGCATCTCTTTCTTGCCCTTTAGTTTGGCCAGCAGGTCTTGACTCATCCGTGCTGGTCTCTTGCCATCCTTCCCCAATTTCTTACACCTGGGAATTGCGAGCTCTTATGCGCTATGGAAAGCATCCTTAAAGATCTGCCGGCTCTGTTCTGCTCCCTTGTCCCTGAAGGCAGTTTTTCAGGGGTAGTCCTACTGGCTAACTCCTTGAACAGCTTGAATTTTTCCTAAAATTTAGAGTCCTGACTTTACACTTCGCGTGACCCATATCCCCCAGGACTGCGAATTCCGCCAGTACATGATCACTGCAACCCAGGCTGCCTCCAATCTTGACATTACCGATTAGCTCACTTGCGCTGGTGACCATCAGATGCAGGATTGCATGCCCCCTTGTAGAGCTATTACTTGGCGAAGGAAGTTATCCTCAGCGCACTCCAGGAGTCTACTGGATTGCCTACGGCTCACAGTACTGCTTTCCTAGCAGATGCCAGAGTGGCTGAAGTCCTGCAGCAGGATGAGAGCCTGTGAGTGTGATGCCTCCTGTAGCTGGAATAAGAAGGCTTTGTCAATAGGGTCCCCTTGATTGGGCAGCCTGTAGTAAACAACATACACAAGGTTCCCTTTGTTTCCCTGGACTTGTATTCTTGCCCATAAGCTTTCAACCTACTTGTGGCTATTCTTCAGAAACAGCTCTTCACACTCTACCCATTTCTTGATGTAGAGGGTATCCCTTCCACCTCTCTTTCCTTATCTGTCCCTTCTGAAGAGCTTGTAGCCATCAATAGCCACACTCCAGTTGTAGGATTTGTCCCACCAAGTTTCAGTAATGGCAATTAGGTCATAGCTTTCTGGCAGCACAGTAGGTTCCAGCTCTGCCTTTTTGTTGCTAATGCTGAGTATAGAGACACTTCAGCTGTGCTGTTGGCTGTGTCACAGTTTTGGAGGAACACACTTTAATTCCTCTGAGGTATTTCCCTGGTGTTTCCCTGTTGGGTCTTATTACCTCAGAACCCCTGGCTCATCTCAGAACAACAGAGGGCCATCCCTCTAACCATGGTGCGTCATCCCACAGCTTGTCATGGGCAAACCTGATATTATCCCACTCCCCTATCAAGTCTAATTTAAAGCTGTCAGTAAGCCCCACTAGCTCATGAGCAAAGACCCTCTTCACACTTTGACAAAAACCCATCTGACACCGGCAGGCCTGGTGCCATGCAGACCATCCCATTATCAAAAAACCTGAAACTGTGGCAGTGATAACAGCCACAGAGCCATGTATTATTAGACTGGGTTCACCTGTTTCTTCCAGTGTCAGTGCCCACAACTGGAAGGATAGAGGGGAAAATTACCTGTGCACCAGGTTGCCTTACCAACTGTCCCAGGGCCCTGGGATGACGCGTTTCAGCTTCATCACCACTCACATTGAAGAACAATAATGTATAGTAGTTTGAGGGCTGGGGACTCCTTCCAGACTGCAGCATGCTACAGCCCACACTAACCTTTTGATGTCCAACAGTCCTCTCTAATCAAGACTTATCTTGTGGCACTTCTTTGTACCTTCCCCTGACCTTTTAGATTCTAATAGAACCCTTACGGCTTGATAATTTTTTTTTTTTTTGATAGCTAAATGTGCTAAGTTACACAGAAGATTGTGGTCACAAGGTGGTACATACGTAAAGAATTACAGTCTTTTCCATTCTGGTTTCTTTCTGTATTTCATTTCAGGTGGAGATGATTCAAAGAATATGTTAAATGCTCGAAGTATAGAGGATACAAACCTGCACCAGGTACATCTTTACAAAGAATCCTGATGTTAATTTGATGCCGAACTTTTAACAGCTTGCTAGCAGTCTTCAGGAAACTAAAGGAGATGACTGTTTCTCAAATGTGTTTCAAAACTAGCACATAATGTGATGGATGCTTCATACCCAGCAGGGGCTGAAACAGAGTGATGTTCAGTGTTACACCAATTATTTTTCAAGCAGCTGCTGATCCTCACTGGTATTTGGGATAAGCTGCAGCTGTATGAAAATGCAAGGCAAAGGCTATAAGCTGCCTCTCATAAGCACTGGTTCTTGCTGTTTTTGCAAGTGCTGCAGAGGTAATTTACAGCAAGCGTGGCACGTCAGTGCCTCTTGGTACTTGCAGAAACCTGACTGAAACTGCAAGATGTTGCCTGTCTTGAAGCAGTAGTATAGCTGCTTCTTGTCTCTGTATAGAGATTTCAATAGGAAAAGGTTAGGGAGCCACTGTCTTGCAGAGGGGTTTCGCAGTTATGCTATGAGACCTGTATGGGAGCTAGTGCCTCACATGAAGACAAGATGCTGTTATTAGTCACGTGGGTCATAGTTTGTTTGTGTATAGCACAACAGGTTTTTTTGCATTAAAAGCTGTACTGTCTTGTTTTCTCTTCTTTGAACTATGATAACTGGTAATATGTGAAACATATAACGCAGTATGCAGGGACACTTAATTCTTGCTTTCTGAAGTTTTATGTAGGAATGAAAACTGTTCTTGTTACTCTCAGTAATGCACCCTACAGTGTCCTTAGAAATGTAGTAACAGCATCTATGGTGTATAGTCTTAGATTACAATGTAAAACGTTAGTTGACTGAGGAAGAAGGTGGTGTAAATGTTTAATTGGGAAAACTTATAACTGTGGCTGTGTAACTGATGATTTCAGTAGTTCTGTGAGCTGTTGCAGTGTTTGTGTTCTGGTTCTATTTCCAGATACAAAGTAATCAACAGGATAATTCTATGTTGTCATTGGCTTTTGGAGCAGTTTTCTTCTGAGGTTGTCATGAGTTAATTCTTTGTGGTTTTGCTATGTTATTTCCCTTTCTTTACAATTCCCTAGAATCATTGTAGACAGGTTTGCTAGCAATGTGAACCTGTAGCTCTGGTGTAAGACCACAGAAGCAATGTAGTTTTAATTCTTTAAAGGCAGAGCATTAATTTGAAACTGGTTCAATTTTCAGAAATAGATAGAAGTGTAAAGCACTTCAGTAACATTTATTATTGGATTTCACCCATTAATTTTTACGTTTTTATACACATATTTCTTAGTTCCTTAATTTCTTTGTCCTGCTGTCTTATGAAGTTGCATAGACAGAGGAAATCAGTTAATTTTATAATAGCACAGTTTTAGAATATAATACTGCAATTTATTAGAAAAGGAAATTAAGTAAATGGTCTATTTTGTAGATAGAATTAAATATAGATTAAACATGATAATACTAAACCATCAAAGGAAATTCTGCTGAAAATGAACAAAGAAGAAAAACAAATTTGGTGAAATATAAAACCAATAAAGTTCTTTAGGATTCTAAAGGCAGAAACCAAGTGGGAAAAAAAAAAGTTCAAAAAAACCAGATCTGCTATTGTTACAGCAGAGGCTACAGCCAAGGGTTGAACGACTCACAAATACTTATCTCATGTTAGATGGACATCATGTTTAGGTCCAAACCAAGGAACAGTTACATTGCAGAAAATACATTTCCCTGATGCTGGACCTAATGAAATGGGACACACTGTTGCCATTTCTAATCAGAACTGTTGCATCCCAGTTAAATTATAGGAAAACTGAGCTAAGTCAGACAGAATTGCAACAGGAGCATGAATTCAACAGTGGTAACAGTGAAAATCCATTTACAGAAGAATAGGGTAGAACTGGTGGAAGTTGAGTGACTTCTGTTGTAATAGGGGAGGAGATCATCGGTTTATGCTGCCCCAGATTAGTGGTTTCTGGAGAAAAAGTGTCTGCACAGCATTCTCAGACTACTGATTTAGCAGATCTTGATTCTCAGTCAATACTTGCTTTGACTTCCTCTCACAATGTATCTGTTTTAAAGTTACTACAGGTATTCAAGAGTTATGACAGTGATCAACATAATCTCAAGCAGAATATTAGTCGTAGTTTGAGTGACAGGAATCTACATACCAATCTGATAATAGAATCATAGAATGGTTTGTGTTGGAAAGGACCTTAAAGATCATCTAGTTCCCACCCCCCCTGCCATGGGCAAGGACACTTTCCACTAGACCAGGTTGCTCAAAGCCCCATCCAACCTGTTCTTAATTTCCTTAAATACACAAACAAAAGCCCCTTAATTTAGAACCATAGTGTATGCTATGTTGCTTTTGGTTCAATTTCCATTCTTTCTTTAAGTTTCCTAATTTTACCAAATAGATGTGGCTATTTAGATGACTTAGATAATTTATTGTGCCAAAGACTTGTGAATAAGCTCATGCTGTAGTGATTGTTTGGGCTTTTTTTAAACTGAGCAACTTGCAACTTGTTGTGAACGTATTTGTGTGATTTCAGAGTGATTTATTTCTTCGCAAAACTTGACAAATTAAGTTAAATCTGATATTGATGGAAACAAAATTAATGGATCCGCTCTAAGTTTAAAACTCTCTTTGCCTTTGTTTGAACAGTTTTCCTTACAGACAGATGAGTCAGAACCAGAGTGTGCAAATCTTCTGCATTCAGACAGCACAGACATACTGCAACAGACTATTGTAAATGAGGTGCAAAACATTTATCCTGCTATATCTGGAGGTGGAACCAGCTGCACTAAACAGGCAGTTCAAGCAAATGCAGAAACACTGTTAGCGCAAGAGCGTTTAGCAGCTACTAATGGAGAAAGTGCTTCTGGAAATCCTTATAATTCTGCCAGTAGTGTATTAAGCAATTCTGAACAAAAGGCTTCACAACCAGAGGAAGGAGGGAGGATCCTGTTTAATGCAGAAGAAAGTGTTGAAGGATGTCACACTGAAACTGAAAATGTTAGTAGTTTAGAGTTTGAGCCTCCAGCTTTACAACTCCATGAAAAGGACACATGTCAGATTATTCAAAAGAGAAAGGATCCTCATGAGCCCAGTTCAAAAGCAGGATTGCATTTTGGTGTTAATCCATATAGCAGGTCTCCTTACTCATTTGAGACTGTGGAAAACATGCAGAAAGAAACCTCCCAAAAAACAGGTACAAAGTTTTGTTTGAAAAGAATTATTTTATAAGTTTGCGTATTTTATTCTAAAAACCTAGCTGTTGGTCCCCTGAGAATGTGTTTTGCCATTAATAAACAGCAGACACATGGAATGTGTTCTGATACAGTTGTGCCAGATGAACTAGTTAGCAATTTTTGCTTTGAATTTTTTTGGTTGTTTTTTATCCAAGTCCTGATTGTATTTATAAAAATGTGACCACAGTGGTCGTTAGAATAACTAAGAAGATATTCTAAAATACATTTTTCTTTTAATATCTAAGAATCAATAAAGGTCGTATTTTCACAAAAGAATCTTTGAATTGTTTTGGATTCTGTCTCAATACATTAAGATATAATGACTAGTGGATGAAGGATTTGTTATGTTGAAGTATTTTCAAAATTGAGTGAGTTACTGCAGGCATTTTTTAATCTACTACTAGATGGTAATTTTGACATTCATTTTAATATCAGTTACAGTTTCTGAAATTACTGAGTATTATGCCATAGTTACTTGTACGTTCTTTTGTTAAACCAACAGATGAAGGAGTGTTTGCTCGAGTAAGTGGGACAAAAGGCTCTGAAAAGAATGGAGACAAAGTAAATGCAAAGATCAGTGTGCTTTCAGAGTTTACTGAAACAGAAGTCCAAAGTAAAAGAATAAGATTAGACCTTCAGGAAACAAACCGAAAAGCAGCCCCATATTCCAGTAGCAGCAAAAAGAACCTTTCATCTAAGCAATCGCATTTCAGTCAAGCATCAGGACAGCAGACATCCAAGAAATCAGGTGAAAAGTTAATAATATTTTATAAAAACAGTGGAGGTTTCTTTCAGACGTACATGAAGAAGGCTTTTTGTAATATGTAAGGGAAAGTTTGGAAAAATGATGTAGCATGTTGAGCTACTCTAGGGAGTTCCAAATACTTTATATTGATTTCAGAACTTCAGTCCTTCATTTTATAGAATGCACAAACTTATTCTGTTTTATTTTTACATTCATCAGTTTTTCAGCATTGTGGTTGAGGGGATGCAGGCTCATAACCAAGAGCTTTAAAATAATGTAAAATTGATCCTTACTTAACTATGTTACATAAATGATAGTTTAAAATAACATTAAATTGGCCCTCTGTTAACTATTTTACATATCACAGATCAAGGGAGAAAACCTGGGTCTTTATATTTGGAACACATGTATCGAATTATATTTTGCAGACTATATCCTCATCAGGCACAAATCAGCATAGGCACTGACTGTGCTGGTACAACTGGTTTTAGCTGTAGTATAGAAACAAATCTACTTACATGAGGATAAGGATTCTAGCATCCTCCGGTGGTTATATTAATTTCTGCCTGCATGTGTTGCTTTCTGTTTAGCAGGTTTTTATTCCCCCCCCCCCCAAGAGATTCTTCAGGTAATATTTTATTTATCTAAAATTTAATTATTTCCTTCATCCCAGGAGAATGTGGCTGTTAAAGAGCTGATGTGAGAAAGTATAGCCCTCTGTGCAGTTGAAGGTATTGATAGCTTTGGAGACTGGGACAATGGCATTCAGATTGCATCAGAAAAAAGTGGAAGATCAGATAATGTTTTCTGACATTATGGGGTTTTCAGATTTTTTTCCTGTCTCATGCTTTTTCTTCGTTAAGTGTCTTTTATATCTTATCTGATTGTTTCTGTGTCCTAGTGGTCTTCCTTATATTATTTTATTCTTGAATAAGAAACTTTTATTCCTAAATGATTCATTGTCACTTTCACGTACAGTCAGTCACTTAGGCTCCCAATTACACTAGGCTCTCAACATTCCTATTCTGCTTATACAGAAGGAAGGTACAAACAGCTTGCTTCTTATCTTACAGTTCAATGTGTGGAAAGAGTTGCTCATTGGCCAAAGTTCAAAAGTCTTTTTGAAGGAGGATGTCCTTGAAGTTATGGAGGTGTGGCAGCCTAATCTAATCTGATTGCTGGTTACTGTAATCTCTCCATTTAATCTTTGTAAATCTCTCTGACTGGATTTCGTATTTGCCAAGTACCTGATCTTTCCTGCTTATGACCCATGTGGCAATGCATTCCATGGAGAACCAGTATTTTGTGATTCACATACCAATGTCCCATTATGCTTTTGCAAATGTTTCATAACAACCACAAAGAAAAGAGTTGTGCATGACAACTTAACTGGAAAACTTTGCAATTATTTCTGTTCACTTGCAGCCAATATTGCTAAGTGTCATTAGCTTAATTGTCTGTTGTGCAATTTTTTTTTTTCATTCCTGCATCTCTAAAAAGTCCCTAGGACATACTCCCATGAATCAGTGGGGAAGAAAAGGAAGAACCAGAAAGCAGATGATTGCTTTGGGAGTTCATACCCAGAAGCTTTTAGACGAAATGCAATACCTTATCTTACAGAAAAGTAGGTCTCAGATTGGAGTATTTCAATAATGTGACACCTCTGTGTGCGCTAGAATCTCAGTTTTCCTTTGAAAAAGGAAACTCTTTAGCTCTTCTGGTTGCCAGACTCTGTAAGCCAAGCACCCCCAATGCACAGAGGGCTTCCTGAATTTTTCTGGCAGGTTAGAATAACCTATGGTGAGCTCCTTTTCTCCCATGGTCTGGCTGCCACAGTGGCTGAAGAAGCTAGTTTAAAATTAGTATGGATACATCCGGGCTATATGTCTGTCTTCAATATAGTTGCAGTATGTCTTTCATGTTTTTCCAAACAGTCTTGGATTGCAAGTTCAGTAGTTTACCTTAAAGGAAACCTTGGAAAATCAGATTTTCCAGAGGCAGGAGGAGCCTGAAGAAAAGCAGCTGTCAAATCATGGAAGATGTTTGATGGCGATGGATAATAATAACTGAAGATACTTGAGAAGACAACTTGTCTGATAAGAAGAGGAAATGCTTGGAATGCAGCACTTGCATTCATAGGAATAATTAAAAAAACATGGACAAGAGTTGAAAAATGCTTATTGGAAAACTTTACACTTTCCCTTTTTTTTGGACAAATTACAAATTTTCAAGAAATCGGAAAAGAACACAATGAACTTTAAAAAAAGTCTGATAGGACAGTATTGCAATAGCAGGAACAGGAATTTTTAAAAAGCTGACATACATTGTATAGTTTTTGGAGACTTACACACCCTGTCTTTTTGGTAGCAATTTGGGGGGGGGGTTGTCCTTACTCTGTATGCAGAATCAGAACTTTTTAAACCTGTTTTTTAATTTGTATCTCTTCCCGTTTGGTACATCTGTTACCAGAAGCCTCAGCTTTAGGACATATCTGATGATCACATGTTAAAATGTAATGTGCATGTTGTTTGATTTGTGAACCAATAGAAGGATTAAATCAAGGTTATTTACAGTTATGGGTCCAATGCTTCACATGTGTTACTAAAAGGCACTTCAGCTGTGTCACTAGACATTAACAAAGATTTGTATTCAGTCTACATGACATTTTCCCATCACACATCTGAAAATACCTTATGTAGAAACCAATCGCTTCCCTGATGCAGAATTAGGAACGGAAAAGAGGCAATGGTCAAATCTTCACTTTTATATAGTTTCTTAAATACCTTCATGAAAGCATTTTTTTTCCTGGTGACTTAAAGCAGCCCATGGAGAAATGTAACATACTCCCTACCTCTATACAGTATAAAAGTTCATCCTTGTTATGTTTTTGGTTGATCCTTAATTCATCGTATCCTTGTTAAGTCACCTAGATTTGAACTGTGAATTCTTTTGCTTAGGGTCTGTTTGTTATCTGAAGCTGTTAACAAACTACTGTTAAGCAGTATCTTCTTAACTTTTGTTATAGTGAGTTAAGGTTATTGAATAACTAAGGCAACTGTATTGCACACATTTACGTTAATTCAGATGAGTTATGAAGCTTAATTGTTTGCTTATAGTGAAACATCTCATGTGGTTCCTAATGAATACCCAATATGTGTTTAGAACGCTCCCTATCTACCAGAAAAGAGGCTATAATTTTACATTATAAAATTATAGGAGCTGGGAGAAAGATAACAAATAAGAGAAATACAAAAGGAGAAACTCAGCTGCATATTGCTGCTAGGAGAGGAAATTTGTCTTTGGCGAAAACACTAGTACCATCTGGAATTTGTGTCAATGAACAGGACTATGCAGGTTTGAAAATTCTGATGGGCTTGTTTTATGATTCAGTTCGATATAATTTATAGTATATATGGTTTTACATAATTTGTGTAATTTTAGTATAATTGTGAGGAGGAAAGGAAGTCATTCAGCAAGTGCAAGCACAATAGGTGAATCCCTGGATTTTGTGTCTTAGCATGCAGATAATGTAGCCTTTTTCTCAGCAGGGGCATTAATTGACTCTTGCTCCTCTGCTGAAGACTGTGTTTTCAGAAATGGGTATGGAAAATGAACTTGACAGTTTGGCGGGAGAATTAATGCTGACACGCATGAATACATACACGTGTGAAGCACATTCACACAAATCTTACTTCCTTAGGAAATAAGGACAAAAAGCAGATTACAAGATCATTTCTTCTTTTTTCTACCTGAATGTATAATGGTTTTCTGCTTTGTAGTCTCAGAATGGATGGTATTCTATTCTGGATGCCTGGCTGACTTGATATTATAAAATGATAGTGGCATTAGAAATCAGACTATTAATATTATGCTTCTGAGTTTTTAGAGTCTTCTACTCTGTTGGGTTCTTTTCATTATTTTTAGTGGTGTAGTAGAAAAGTAAACAGTATTTTTCTGCTTAATATTGGATGCATTTTTTTCTAAACAGAATTACACAAGAAATAATTATCGTTGGCATTTCTAGGTGATTGTATAATATTTGTCTTAAAGAGAGTAGTCTGTTGCTTGAAGTAGAGCAAATGCAGCAAAATGTATCATCATTTATTAGTGATCTATGTGGATTTTTTCCAAATCAGATGCATGCTGTATGTGTCGCCTTGTTTTTATTAGGTTGGACAGCAATTCATGAAGCTTCCAATAGGCGATTTACTGAAGTGAACTTAGAATTACTGAAAGCTGGTGCTAATGTTAACAGCAGAAGTCTGGATGGTATTTTGCCAATACATGATGCTGTTTCTGGCAACAATTTGAAGGTACATTTTTCTTTTACATTAGATTGCCTGTGACTGATTTCCAGCAGAGGATCAGCAAAGCAAAATGTTTGTTTAAATAAGGAAAGTCAAAGTTACTAATACAATTTTAGTGTAGACTTGCGTTTAGGAAATAAACTAATATACTTTAAAATTATCAAAATTAGAGAAAGAAGTTTTCTTCACTAATGACAGTTGAAGTTGCACAGTTAGTTGACTTTTTCAGTGCAGCAGACAAATCAGAAAAATTCAGAAGCTCCCCGTGGTTATTTCCCACATACTGGGCTTTTAAAAAATAATAGTGAAATAGAGCATTCTCAATTTGATCATCTAGTCCAACTCTCCTGCCATGGACAGGGACATAATTCGTTAGACCAGGTTGCCCATAGCCCCATCCTGTCTGACACTGAACACTTCCAGTGATGGGGCATCCACAACTTTCTGGGCAGCCTGTTCCAATGTCTCACAACCCTGATTGTAAAAGATTTAGGTTTTGTAAAGAAAAAAACTCTAGGACTGCTGTTTAAAGCAACAGTTTTTCACTGACTGTTCTTTTCCAACCCAAACTGTTTTGTGGTTCTATAGAATAGACCATATTTCATTTGGAAGGAACCTAAACCAATCATCTAGCCCAACTGCCTGACCGATTCAGGGCTGACCAAAAGTTAAAGCATGTTATTAAGGGCATTGTCCAAATGCCTCTTCAACACTGACGGACTTGGGGCATTGAACACCTCTAGGAAGGCTGTTCCAGGGTTTGACCACCCTCTCAGTAAAGAAATGCTTCCTCATGTCCACTCTAAACCTCCCCTGGTACAGCTTTGAACCATTTCCACACATCCTATTACTGGATACCCTGGAGAAGACCTCAGCACCTCCCTCTCCACTTGCTCTCTTCAGGAAGCTGTAGAGAGCAATGAGGTCACCCTTCAGCCTCCTTTTCTCTGGACTAGACAAGCTCAGAGTCCTTAGCATGGATATGTCACAGGAAATGCCTTTCAGGTCTTTCACCAGGGTTGTTGCCCTGCTCTGGATGCATTCAAGAACTTTCACATCCTTTTTAAATTGTGAGGCCCAGAACTGCACACAAATAAATAAAATGGTTTGGCACAGTGTATTCCTGAGCATAAAACCAGATTGGCTCAAACATACCACTGCTATTCCTGTAAGAAGAGCTGATATTTCATCACATTTATCTTTTCTGTGAGCAAAGATAATGAAAGGGATTATTTCACAGGCCTTGTGCCAAAATATCAGTACGGTTCTTGCAGACATGTAAGCTATTATTCAGTACTGTGGAGAGAAACCAATGTAGAAGGTTCTGAACTTCTAGAGAGTATTGTCTTTCTGATACTTTTTGATATTTAGAAGCACTCTGAATATACGAAAGAAGAAATGCTAAAGATTGCATACGTATGAAAATTCTTTACCATCAAGGCTGACTTTGTCAACACGTCCATATGATCTGAATTTTAGGGAGTATTCTCATTTCGACATTTTACAATTAAGAAGACTTGCAAGAGACTTGGAATTAGGGAAAAAATCATCAGTGCAAGTAACCAAAAACCAAACCTGCTATTAAATACTTAAATGAAAAAAATCCTCTTCTTTTCTGCACTTCGATCTTAATACAAGTGGCCAGTTCCTTTTATTTTAGATATATGAAATTTTTTAATTGCTCTCTATAACAATACCATAAAGATGATAGGTTTAATGACAAGTTGTGAATTATTTGTGTATTTTGATGGAAAATTGGAAGTCTTAAGATACAAGGTGGACTTCATAATAGCCAATTAAACTTATTTGTTTAATTGGGATTGCAAGTGTAATGAATGTTAGAGTATCTTATTTGTACCTTTATTATTTGTGATTTATGATAGATACAACACATATAGTTGTATTATAAGTTCACAACAAGAATTACCACAATACACATCACAATAATATGTAACAGGCCACCAGGATTCTACTACAGCATGGAGCAAATCCCTGTGAGAGGAGTAATTCAGGGAAAAGTGCTTTGGATGTAGCTCATGATGATGAAATGAGTGAACTGCTGAAGTCTTATGATGCTATGGACTCTCTACCTTCTGTTGACACTACTGAAGTTACAGGTATGTTGGTTTTATAATGTAAATCCTGAGTCTTAAAGGAAAATCAGTACATTAGAATGCTGCTGATTTGCAGAGCTGCATATTGCCTGGCATTGATACCTTTAATTCTGTTAACTACTGAATTTTATTTATTTATTTTCAGAAAATAGGATACATGAGCTTGGTTTAGTTTGGGTTTTTATTTCCTGAGAGAATGAGATCCAAAGACCTACTTGCCTCTTCAGATTTTTGTTATTATTCGTATTTCCCTTCACAGGGATGTTGTGTTTTACTATGGAGTAGCTTTAAAGACTTATTTCCTTATGCTACCTAAATTTGATCTCATTTGCATATGCAAGATATTTTTTATATGATCTGCCATTGCATCTTTGTAGCCCCTATTAGCTAACCTAACCTATTATGTTCCTGCAAATTCATTTTAAATTCTATTTATTTTTTCTTAATTGCATAGGGACAAGAGATCCTTCTAGATCAAGAAGATCAGAATATCCTTGTTACAGCTACTGTGAAAATGATAATGCAGATTTGGAGCCGCAATGTGAGGAATACAGTGTGGTAAGTATAGATAATAGAATTTTGCTAAGCTGCTTTATAGTGTATTACTGCAGTGTTATTTACTGACTGAATAACATAAAAATACCATTTAAATGATTAACCCTTTAGAATGTATGTGGAAAGCATCATCATTCAGAGGCTTACGGTATATAAACTGTGGTTTATAGTGTGCAAGTGTGTGTGTTATCACTTCTCTCTGTTCACGATTTCTGTGCACTTCTGTTTGTTGTGCAAACAGTAGTTAATATTTATATACATTTCCCATTTCCTATGTGAATAGAAAAAAGCTCAGGAATCCTGAGGCTTTTCATTCCATTTCCAAAATGGCTCTTCGAAAGAATAATGATTTTTCTTCATGATAATGAAGGTATTTAGAAATTGTTTAATCTTAATTCAAAACAGACAGGAAGATTTTTGAACAAGTTGTATGTTGAGTCGGCTCTTGCTGGTATCTGTAGGCTGTCTACATTGTCTAGGTGATGCTGTCATGGTGAGATTCACTGTCTAATCCCTGTAGTGTACTCAGGGGTGGGACTGTCCTGGGTTCAGCTATGGCAGTCATTTTTCTCCTTTTTAGTAGCTGGTGCAGTGCTGTGTTTTGCACTTTCAGCCTGGGAACAACGCTGATAACACCGATGTTTTTAGTTGTTGCTAAGTAATGTTTACTCTGACCAAGGACTTCCTCAGTCTCATGCTCTGCCAGGGAGGAGGGGTTCGGGAAGCCAGGAGGAAGCAGAGACAGAACAGCTGACCCAAACTGGCCAAAGGAGTATTCCATACCACAGCACATCATGCCCAGTATATAAACTGGGGGGAGTCACCCAGAAGGCCCAGATCACTGCTCAGGTCGGGCTGGGTGTCAGTCAGCAGATGGTGAGCAATTGCATTGTGCATCACTGCTGTTTATTGTTTTCTTCTTTCTCCTTTTAGTTTTATATTCTCTCCCCTTGTTATTTCCCTTATCATTGTTATTATTGGTGGTAGCAGTAGTGGTCTTGTATTATACCTTAGTTACTGGACTGCTCTTATCTCAACCTGTGGGATTTACACTCTTTTGACTCTCCTCCCCATCCCTCCGGGAGCGGGAGGAGGAAGAAGGGCAAGAGTGAGCGAGTGTTTGCATGGTCCTGAGTTACTGGCTGGGCTTAAACCACGACAGGGGCCCTGAACATGGGCTAGTTTGAACGCCTAGACAAAACAAGAATGTGACAGCCCCTTGCAGAGCACACCTCTGGTAATATATATGTCTATGCTACTGGTGCCCCCATTGCTATCATCCCCTGCCTGGTATTACTTGAGTCCACCAGTACTTACCCTGCAGGCCATGCATCATGGCATGTTTTGTATGGTGCATTTGACTCTATTTCTTACCATCATTTCTGTATTTATTAACAGGAGCCTGCTGCTGCCATACAAGACGCAGAAGAGAAGCAAAAAGAATTGTTGCTACTTGAATTGAGAACTTCCAAAGATGCAGGTAGACATAAATTCAAGTTGTTTCACTTCTTCTTTTTTTTGGCGGGGGAGAACACGCATAATTATTGTTGGTAATACGATTATTTTAAAAATAGTAATGCATGTAATGCGTTTATAAATATGTTAGATGTATATTAGGTAAGAATGCACACTGTCAGCAACATTATTCAGTGACAAGTACGTGAGCCCCTCCATGGTCAAGAATACTATGCTTGTATGTAAAGTAATAGATGCATCATTTTCATTCTAGGGTGGCTGGACTTTCATGAGCATAAAATAATTTATGAGGAAATAAAGAAAAAACTTTAAGGCAGGCATTGTGGATGATGGACAGTTTCAGAAATATTGGTGCCCAGAGCTGTCAATTTGTCTTAGGCTATCAAATCTCATTTCAGATTGATCTCAAGAATTTACTAAGTGACACTGACTTCCTAGGAGATCATGATGCTTGTGCTGTGTAGCGATTCAAGCCTATTGTGTCTGTGCCATGACTGTCCGAGTTTGCCTTTAGCCGAAGCTGCCCTTGCTATCCAGGCAGGGCTGTTTATGCATACCCAGCAGCTTATGCCCATGGAATGGTTTTGCTTACTGACAGAAAGGAAGGGGGTTTTAAATTTACTTGCCTGCATATAGGGTGGAGCTTTCAAATTGTAATTAAAATAGTTGATTTTAAAAATACATTAAATACAGACTTACACTGATTTATAGCTTCCAACTCAAATTTGTGGTGTATGGACTGTTAATTAAAATTGATGTGTTTTCTTGAGAAATGTTTGACAAGCAGGTAGATGGTACAATAGACAAGCCTATAGGCAGACATCAGTGCAATTTCATAAATAAGCAAAACAGAACTATCAAACTTCTCCTATTTAGGGGAATAAGAGAAATGAGCATGGTGACAGTTACCACTACTGACAAAGGCACCTCTTAAACTAAATTACAGTTATTGTGAAGAGGCACAAGACTGAACAAGAACACAGAAGTACATTTACAAACTTAGAACGTAGAATAAAATACTGAAGGCATTTGCATGCAGTAAAACCTATTGTAAATAATAGATTAAAATTCCCTATTAAGCTGCCTTAATAAGAGTGATATTTTTATATTTTTGTATGTTACTAAGTAAGTAAATACTTGTACATACTGTGAAACAAGTTTGGGGAAACATTTTATGAATGACACTTTCAACCCTGTAATTTCCCATTTTTCATGATTATGGAAAGCTTGTATTTCCTGGTTTAGAATTTCAGGAATTACATTACATGTTTAGCATGTTATCCCAGTGACATTCACTGGTCATGACTTCTGAACTCTCCCTTATGTTAATAGCTAAGAGACAGGGTATATAAAGAAGAATCTATAATTGCTGCTCTTATTTTGGAAAAATATAGCTACATTAAAAATGTTATTAGTGTAATGATTTTCTACTGCTTATTGTCATCATCATTTTGATTGTATCAAATTATTGGACAGATATGTATATCCAGAGGCTGTCTCAGGTGCAAGATACTTTGAATGAAATGCTTGCAAAACAGAAAACAGAAAGGGATACCCTTGCTAAAAAGTACAGGTAAGTAAAATATAAGGACTGTATTTATAGGAAGCTGTTCTTAATAGCAATAGTGATAGAAGTTAGAAGGTGAGCATACAGTAGCATGCAAGTAAAACTATGTGGTTTTCATTCATATTTTGTGGAAGCGTGATCCATATTGGCTTCAGTTATTTCCAGTAAGAGTTTACATCCAGGAAGAACTTCAGAGTTTAGCTTGTGTATACTAATCAGTTGCTGTGCACACAATGAATACTGAAATTAGGTAGTGAACATAAAAAATGTGTGGAAAAATTCCTAAGCAGAAATGAGGAAATGGAGGTAGCGAGCAATTAGATTACTTTTGCGACATCATGGAGGAAAGCAGTAGCAACTCAGACACTACCTGTAGCATCCCTGCCTCCAGTTTTGTTTCTTTAGCACCCTTAGATTGGTAGTGTACAACCAAGAGCCCACAGAAGCCAGGTAAAGCAATGGCTTAAAGTGTGCTTGCAGGTGTTCCTTTTCTGTGAGGACACCTCAAATGTGAGCTGGGAGTGCTCACCTCAGTGTGAGCATGGACTGTGAATTGTCAGGTTCCTGCTGCCAGCTCTCACAAGGCCCCTTTGTACTTCCTTCTAAGAGGGACTACCTAACGCTGGTCATGTGGTGAGTGCTCAGCTAACAATGTAGCATTGTATTCAGTGGATGCTTCGAGTCCATCTGCTGAGAATGTCTACATATTGTTGGTGCAAGCAGTATTCATTTGGTCATGTAAAAGCAACAGTTCAGGTAGTACCATGGCAAAACACATAGGCTGGTTGAGCAAAGAGTCTGAAATGTTTCAGTCACAGACCATTTTGCCACCTGTAAAATGTAAAATACATAGATTACACAGATAATAAAAGAGAGGATTTTATGTGAAGTTAGGGTTCCACATCATCCTCATGAACAAACCAGTGACTGAATTAAGAAATAAAGACAGTAAAACTAGTATCTACACAAACTTCTAATATTGAAAGTGAAACCATTCCAGAGCAGAATGATAAATATTTCTCAGTATTGCAGATACCTTGCAGCTAACGGAACAGCTATTCAACAGTAATGAGATACATGCCAAATTACATTAAATTTCCTTTTTACTATATTTTGAACATTTTGTTTTTAACTAATTAGCATATGAGCTTTTGTCACCCAATACATAAATACACAGAAAATCAGGAGGCATCATCACATTTTCCATCTTTCTGTTGTTCAGTTAGTTACCCTACTAACACTTTTCCATTTCTGTCCCTTCATTTGAAGATATTAAGTTGTATCTCTTACCTAAGAAAGCTAAGAAAAAAAAAGCATCCTATTTGTCACTGGCTGTGAGTTGCTTTGCCTTTGTCATTTTAGTCACACTATTTTTGCCTTTTCAGTTGCAGGTTCTTCTGTACCAGTATAGCAATAAAGCAACAATAATTCCCTGAAGAAATACTGCTAGAAAACTGTGTGGAACCTAACTGGCCTGTGTAGGAGTCCATAGTTGTCAAGGCTTATGCATATCAGTGATCAACTATATGCTGATATGTTGATCATACAATGGATTCTAAACACATATGATAGTAAGCAATATCACAATACAGACACCAGTACTGTCACACTGTGGTTTGGGTGTCCTTGTTCTGCACCAATTAGTCTTGCTGTACCTCTGTTTTGATCTTCTCAACAGTCTCTCTCCTCTGAGATGATGTTACTTGCATGGCACTTCTGCTGTGGGTGGAGTTAAAAGCAAACCATGCTGCTATTCCTTTTCCCACACCATGTGGTACTCCCCTGTCTTTCCAGCATGGTGCCAGAGTGGTGGTGCAATGACTTGTCTCAGGAGGAACTAGGAGAAAAGAGTATTAGGCTGGTCTGGTGGCTCTTGTGCCAAAGGAAGTGAGAAAAATAACTCCCTTCCAGCAGGAAAGGGTGGAAGTCCTCCAGTGAAGGAGTCTCACAGGGAGACGAGCAAGGTCATGGGGTATTATTACAGTTGTGGCTTCAGAAAATGTTTTGTTGTGTACAGAGTAAAAACTCTGTGATAGTATCATCCTTCAGTAGTTCATCCAGAGCTCATTTTAAAAGGCTCTAAATAAGACCTGCAAAGACATTGAATGCATTGAACTGTTGTGATTTGTGGTGATGAAAGAGCAGTCAGTGATAATACAGACCCAGTTTTGGTTCTGTGAAGTAAGGGTGGTATAGAAGGACAGGCTATCACTGAAGTTTTGATGCTTTGCATCCTACTTCTAGACAGGACTCTGGAGTGTGTTGGGCATAAGCCTGGGATTAGAACTATAAACTTCATGCATGATAAAGAGATTGTTCAAATTTCAGGTGCTGGCAGAATCCTCTGAAACATATTCCTCTTCTTAGTGGGTTACGTCTGTTAAGCTATTTCTGTTTTCAATTTTCTACAGGGCTTCAGTAGAATCTTTTAAAAAAGGACCACTGAGGAAACAATTAGTTAACCTTGCTTCTAGACAAAAGAGTCTGTTGACTGTTGCCCAAAACCAGGAAATATTAGTTCAGAAAATACAGAATTACAGAAAAACAAAGCAAATGTTCAGTGCATCATATTCAGAGAAGCAGATCTCAAACTCAATTATTTCCTGTGGAGATGATGAAAGACAAAGTTTAACTGCCGATGAAATTGTGTGCCCTGATATAGTTACATTTAGTATGGGGCTTGGTGCCAGCATGCCTAATGGAAACAGAGTAGAAGCACATCTCCCTTTAGAAAATGGATTTCCAGCTCAGGACTGCAGCCAACATCCACACATCTGCTTGGATGAGACAGGAGCAAATAAAGAAGCAATTAGAAGCAAAGAGGCTTTTGATCATGCTTTGGCATCCGAAAGCAGGGTAAGAGAATATCCCTTCGACAACATGTCAAAGCTGACAAATGCTGTAGAAGTAGTGACGTTGCCTTCAGAACCTGCTGTTTCCACTGCTAAAACAAAGTGCTCACAGCAAAAAGACATTGATTGTGTAGCAATTGCAGAACAAGGAAACAAGTATTTAGATCCCACTTCAGTGACAAATGTATTAAATATTGTAGAACCCCAAAGCAGTGTTGTCAATAACAATGTCTGTCAGCCAGGCAGTGACTGCCAGCAGGTTCTTACACGTGAGGGTCTACAGAGGTACGTAATTGAGAAGGAAGATTTCCAGCAGCAGCAACAGCGAATAATTTTGTCAAAATCTACAAAGAACTTCCCTAATACTTTGCAGCAGATCTTCCAGTGTCGTGAGAATTCATTTAATGCCAACTTGGTACTTTCAAATCATACCTCAAATACAGATTATCCACTAAATCTCAGGGAGAAATCTTCTCAGAGCGATAGTAATCAAGAATGTGAACAAATCCAAGTGAGGTGTGGAAGAAGAAATAAGAAAAAGCTCCAGTTGATAGATCTACTTAAATTGGGAAAGATTAAGCCAGGAGAAAATGTTTTAGAATTCAAACTGCAGGTAATTACTGAGATATAATAATGTTACTATTAGCATATAATGAAAAAACACAATAACAAAGCAAAACACTGAAATGGGGAAAGAGCAGTTCTCATTTTTGGTCTGCATCTTCAGCGCTTAGTATTGAAAATCTTTACTTGCTGGTTACAGATAACTTTTTATGAGTTTGGAAGGAAAATGCTATGGATGGCATCTTCTGTTAGCCTACAGTATTAACACCCAGAATATTGCATATGTGGAATTTGTGTTTTAACTTCGCATTACCAGCTTCTTAACATTTTCTGTTGCTAAAACCTGTGTGGAATCATTGGTTGGTGTACATAGTGTAATACCTGATTTTCATGTTGTAAATAGCAGGAACATTAAGGTTTTTATGACTTAATGTGATTCTTGGAAGCAACTGTCAAGTCCCTCAAATAATGAAATGTTACATCAAGGATTTCATAGCACTGTGTTAGACACAAATATATGCAAAATTACTTCCTTACATGCCAGCTAGTTCCATAGTTTACAGCCTGGTATCAAACATATATTAAAAAAACCACAAAAAACAACCAAAAAACACGACCTCTTTTTTGCATACAAAAGCACATCCCTGTGCCTGCAAATACAGAGCAGATTTGTGAGGCAGCTGCCAGAGGACTGGCTTAGTATTGAGCAAATGGTTGAATTATTGACTGAATTCCCAGCTGTGAGCTAGTTAATTTCCAGGGCAACATATTGATTAAAACATGAAGGGTTCTTTTCAGCCAAAGCACCAGGTGTAGTTAATGTAGAAAAGACTGTTTTCTGCACCTATAATCTGCTCAGGAATGCTTTTCTTCTAAGAGTGGCCATTTCATGTGGTCTTCTGTTTTGTAATACAAGGCAGTGTGAATAAGTCACAAGCCTCTACATTGAGCCATGTCATAGGTATATACACATGCTTCTTTTCTTTAAAGGGTATGTAGTATTCCTCTGAACCTCAAGATGATTAAGTGGAAGGATGAAGAATTCAGTATGTTTACTGTCATTTATCAAGACTATTATCTGTGATACTGGCTTGATGCATGTGGATCTTAAAGAATTACAACCCTATATTGAAATGTTGTTTTTTTTGAGTATAGAAAGGTCAGCGATTTTTACAGGAGTGAAAATGACATTTATGTCTCAGAAGACAGTGCTCTAAGATAGAAGTTTAGAAGCCAGTGTCTGTTGTGTTGCAAAGTGGAGATATCAGTAAAGTGTCCTTCTTTATCATTATAGAGTTGTACCAAATAACAACATAGAGCTGGTACGTAGTCCTTACTTAAGGTTAGCTTTGGGCAGGCATAATGCAGTTTTTGAATGTTGAAGGCCTAACCTATGAAACAGTGAACTGGATTGAGTGTTCAGCAAAATAGTGTTTCGAGTGTTCATCAAACATCTTAATTTAGATTCTTATTAACACTCCAAGCCAGTGGATATGGTAGGATGCCAGTTCAGTGTTTGCTGGTGAATCATTACCTCTTACTCTGATTGTTTAACTTCATGCAGGCTGAGCAACCTTACTAAGTTCTAGCATAGTTTATCAACAACTAATTTTTTGCATTATTTAACTGTCTTAGCCTAACTGAGATCAGTGTAATAGAACCATAGGTTACTAAACTATAAATAGTATAAGCCATGTTTCTGGGGGTGCATATGTTTGCAGAACTGGGCTGTGTTAGCACTATCAAAGTGGCAGCAAGAATAAATACGTATTATGCTTTATTTTGCATAAGTTAATGCTGTCAGATTCCTCCTAAAACATGTAATTGGTGTCCCTTGACATAAGTGAAGTTTATATGCAGATATGTTTCATTTTTTATCACTGCTGGAATTTCACTGTGACATGCATTTGTTTCACACGTGTAAGGAAGATTGCATTTGTGTAACAGTTTTTTGTTGCACAGAATTGCCTCTTGTGAGTTCCTGGGTTCATTGTTGCAAATTAATTTATTCACAGCCTTACTATGTCTAAGAGGAACTAAGATGCAAAACCAGTTCTGATAAACACAAATAGGGAGAGTTGTCCTCTGATAGTGGTGTTAGTGTGGCTAAAACATCTTATTCTGGTGGAATAAATTGTGTTATTTTACATACAACAGTTCTCGATAGTGGGGGTTTTTTTTCTTTATTTTTCAGAGAGAAACAGAATTAGCTATTTTCATCTATATTGTTCTTCAGTATTTTTTTTCATGTTTTAAGGATGTTAATTCAGATTTGTTCATTTATAAATTGAAAACTACTTCTTGACTTTTATTTTTCAGGAATTTAGTTATAAAGCCACACTCTTAAACAGTGGCAAGATCAGAACCAATAAGAGACAAATAATGCAGAATCCAGTTCACTGGGTTAAAGATCTACTAGGAAATGATATTTATGTGACATGGAAGTATGCATGGAATAAGGTAGGCCTGAATTTACTCCCCAAAATAGCAATATATTACTAACCTGATCTCCTTACTGTTCTCAAAGCAAAAGAGGGTACAAGCCTAAATTTAAAAAAGTCTTCTTACTCTTAATGAATATGCAGCAAAGAAAGACCTCCGTAGCTGTAGCTCTACAGTGATGAACTAGTCACAAGCATTGAGAGAATGTGGAATGCCCACTTCGTAAGCTATCAGTGCTTTGAAAGAGTAGTTTTAAAGATGATTAAGAGGCTGACAGAAAAAGCTGAAAGGTAGTTAGAATGAAAAGGACCAAGTTTACTGAAATGTCAGCATGTCAGGGACAAATGTTGCAAAAATACTGGTGGAGTTTAAGAGGGCTTTGCAGATGTGTTGTGTTACGCTTTTTTAATGTAGAATTCAAATTAGCAGAATTTCTGCTTGACCTTGACAGACATGGATTAGACTATTAAGTGCATAAACTCAGTTTTATGAGAAATATTAAATTTTTACACCTATCAGAAAAAAACACTAATTAAAATTACCAGTTATCCATCTAGATATATTTTCACAGGTTACATATCTTGGGACACAGTTGTCGAAATTTATTGAGGAAGGAGTATCGGTTTCTAAAGACCCAGAATTACCATCACAAGAAAGAATGCCTTTGGGTATGTACCACTTGAAATCTAGTATTCACCATGACTGAAGCATCAAAAGTGATTTCTAAAGAGCTTAAGTTCAAAATTTCCTGTGTTGCTTCCTGATCTTTTTTTTTCCTGGACTGCATGCTTATCACAGATCTTGGGCTTGAAATTTAGATAGTGCCAGAAATTACACATGATCTCTGAAGAAGTATGTTTCTTTCTTCCATTAATTGGTTGTGTGAAGAGAATCATAGAATCATAGAATAGTTAG